GTTTTTGCTAGATCAAATGTTTCTAACCCTCAAACATGGGTAACTTCTGCCAATATGGTAAAATTCCTGTCAGTCTTGGTTTCTTCAGCAACTTGCCTTAACTTAGGCTAAAAAAATGTCAAAGTATTTTGCCTAGACTATCAGCATCACCTGAAAGCTCATTACAAATGCAAATTCTCAGGGGCCTCCCACCCCCTCCGCCAGAAACTCTTGGTTAAGACTAGCAATTTGTTTTCACATGCCCTGCAGGTGATCCTGAGGCATGCCCAAGCTTGAGAACCACTGCTTTAGGGGACATATTTGTCTCATACTCAATTTCTTTCCTCCCAAAACATTTTCATGCAAGAACAGAAAAGTATAGAAAACTAAGTGTTTTCTTCTTAAGACATATATCTCAAAGACTTTAAACAGAGACATGCAAATCAAATTCAGAAATTATCTTAATTTTTGATTGATCTTTAACCATTGTTCCTTACTGTGATTAAAAGATCCATGAACAAAGCTTCTCAACAAGGGACTTAATCACGCCAGTTTTTTGGCATGTTACTGTTCTTGACAAATGCTGATGAAGGAACTCCTATGTTCCTCAAAGTAATAAAATTGTATTCATACACATTAACTATTCTGTTATATTTCTAAATGATAAGGGCAAGAATACACTAATCAAAAGCTATTGGAAAGAGAAGAAAAATAACATCATTTACTTAACTACCTCACAATATCCTAGCCAGAATTAGACTTCTTACAACCTTGCCTAGTAGAAATAATGATGATCTTGGTTGAAAAGATAGGTGGAGCAAGCACTGATGTGAACCATCTAAATTACTAACGTCCTAAGTTTATCATCTATAAAATTGGAGGATGTGTCTGATTTAACTGCCAGGCCCATTTCACAGGTTGCTGTGAAATTACACTAAAACCATAAAAAAAAAAGCACTTGGTCAATCAACAATGTCACTAAAATAGTTTCTCAACTGATCTCCTTCCAGTTCCATTCCATTTCTCTGTTCTTCTCTATAGTGCAACTTCTTGAAACAGTGCCTCTACTTTCTCATTTTCTCTTGAGAGTACTCCAATTAGGCTTTCATCCTCATCACTCTAGGAAATCACTCTTGGCAAGTGACCAATGACCTCCACTTTGATTAAATCCAATCTCTGTCCTCATCTTCCTAGACCTACCACCAGCATTTCACTCTGTTAAGTAACTCCTTTAATCATCTCATTTGGTTTCCAGGGCACTACTCTCTTGGATTTCCTACCTTTTCAATGTCCTTGAATGGTTTCTTTTAATCTTCTAACCGTTAAGTGCTGTGAGTGGCCCAAGCTGGAGTCCCTGCACCTATTCTAGATCTATATTCTACTCTCTAATAGGAAACGACATCTAGTATCATGGATTAAAATAGCTATGCTCACCACAGCATCCTTCCAAATTTCTACCTCCAGCTCCAACCTCTCTGAAGTCCAGGCTTACAGATACAATTGTTTATATGACATTTCCAACTGGATAGTCAACAGACCGTCTCAAAATTAACAACACAACACAACCGTGACATCCTCATCTCTAAGCCTAGTCTTCCTGCAGCTTTCAACATTTTAGTATACGATAACTCATTTCTCACAGTCCTCAGGCCAAAAACCTTCAGATCAATCTGCAACTCCTCACTTTCTTATACTCTGCATCTAAATCTATCAGCAAATTCTGGTCTCTGTCACCATCACCTCTTGCCTGGAATACTCCAGTCATCCTAAGTGTTCTCACTGCATTCTGCAGTCTGTCTATTTGCAACTCTATAGCCAGGAGAATCCTTATTTAAA